TTATTTTTATTTATTTATTTATTTACTTTTAGTCTTATATCCCTAACTTTTTGTATTCATTCCGTTAAGCGCTCATCATTACGCATGCGCAGTTATTATTTTTTCGTAAATTTGATTTTTGTTCTAATATTTTTAATGTTCTTTTAACTGATGATGATCACTAAAGACGATCGAAAACGTTTTTAATATTAAATTTATTTGCTGGAATTTGTAAAAAGGCGATAATTTTGATTAATTCTTTCTAGTTCCAGTACAAGTTATTATTTTTATTATGAATTTTAATTGTATATCCCTGACACACGAATACAATTAATTTGTAAGCCTTCTATGAACAGCAGAGCAGAAAGCTCTTCATGACAGACTCCATTTATGAAAAACTATTAAGTTTTCAATTTTATTAAATAAAAATAATTACCAAGATATTCTCATAGAAGACATTTTCAGACAGATTGTCACAGATGTCTTCCCGGATTGCATCTAACTAAAATATAAATGCAACGATGAATTCTTACTATTTAACAAATTTGTATGACAAATTAAATTAATAAAAACGTGTTACCTTACGAACATTTTTGCTTCCGATGCAATCTTCCTCGTTCCTGCCAGAGAAATAAACATGGTTGAACATATAATTTGTATGACTACAGTCGACCCCCCCTATAACACTGTTGATAATTCCGTTTTATATGAATTCAATGTTGTACGAGTCACTTAGATTTTACAAATACGTGAGCCGTTTACAGCCCGGCACACGTATTTGTAAAATCTGAGTGACTCGTACAACACGGAATTATCAGCAGTGTTATGAGGGGGTCGACCGTATTGGATCGGAATCCCTACCTTTCGACTTTATCGTCATTCTTGCCTGAGGACTCTTCTGCTTTGTTTTGGACTTGTTTAGACAGAACTTTATCTATATTACCCTGAGTACACGATGCGAGAAATGGAAGATTAAAACGCCACATAAGGACGGCAATAGCATGGCGAGTATTTTTATAGGAAGTTTCTAACATAAAACACTACTTGTGTGTAAAATCATATGTGTAAACAAAAGATTAAACATAAACAAAGCAGGTTTTCACTAGTAAAAGTTTCAGTTTTACTAGTGAAAACCTTGGGGAATTAACTCACTGGACAAAGAATCTGACCATGAGGTTCAAAAGGATTGCGCCAATTGGAGTTTTGGTGGATCATGTGGATCAATTTATTAAGCATTAAAACTAAACTGTATTTTAGAATAGTGTGTATAAAAAGCAATTAATTAAACAAATTGTCTGTGTATCACATAAATTAATACCTATAAAATTACTCGCTCGTATTCTTACTTTCCAGTTATTTTGTGCTTACGAGAATGTTTTCATAGAATGTGTTACTTGGTACTCCGGTCTCTGGCTGAAACATAATTTCATTAAGTCCAGAATAATTTGAACAAAAACAATAAAATACAAACCTGTACGTTTCCAACGATGCTTGCGCTCTCTCCCAACACCGAACTTTCTTCCGCATCGTCGGCACTGCTGTCAGATTTTGTAAATCGGGTTAATTATATATTAGACACCGTTTCCTATCCTAATAAAAAAATGAAGCGTTACCTGCACGTGCTGGCTGGATAATCTGGTATATCGACGTATATGGACGAAGCAATACTCTCGCGGTTTTCGCACACTGTATCCAAACGAATGTCGTCGAGAGTCAGAGATGGTTCTGCGACCCGGACATTACAACCGTCGGACTGTTTGAGGGGGTCAAAGTTATTAATCTGACGATTTATGTTTTGTTTAGGATTGCTTCTCTCGCATAAGTTACTTTTTATGGTTCGAGTCCTGTTGTATTTTCTGTAAAAATGATCGTCATCTGTCTGGACTCCTTCGGTTTTTAAGATTTTATCTTGCTCCTCGGGAGCTTGTTTTCTGCCATCTTTCAGACTCAGACTTGTCATGGTGGATACGGAGACAGAAGGGTTCTGTTTTTCGGCATGCGTCAAAGATTCCTTTGTACGATTTTCATTCTGCGCTTTCAAGATTTGTTGTATCTGTTGTTGTAAGTGTTGCAGCTGCTCTTCTTGGTACCTGAGGAGCTCGTATACGTCTTTGGGTACGGATTCCCTTCTCAATTTTTCTTCAGTTATCACATTTTCCTTTTGTAGTATCAAATCTTTGTTACACGTTTCTTCTTGTAATGCAGATGCTTTTGTTTGAATTACTTCCAGATTAGTATTTTCCTTCTGTTGTTTCTCTGTTTCCTTGTTTGTAACTTTATTTTGAATATCATTACAGTTAGATTTAATTTTACTCACGTCAGATTTATGAGTGAAAAGCAAAGGTTGCTTTTTAATAGGAATTAGCGACTTTTTTAGCGGCACATCTTGAAAACAAATGGGATTCTCTCTTTCGCCAAGAGCAATGTTCAAAGAATTTTCTCTTAACTCTTTGGAATTTAATATATGAGAAGGAAGCAAAGATTTTGAAATATTTCTTTCGTCTTGTGAACAGTGTGAAGTGAGAAAAGGAGTCTTTCCAGCATCTTTTCTAGCACTGTTTTTTTCCAAGAGCGGTCGATCGATGCTATCCGACAAAGACAAATCGGGTACTGTCGGTTTGGGATTTATGATCTGAAATAATATGTTGTTTCAATATTTTGTTACAATTGTATCAGATTTCAATTGAAAGAATGATAGATTGAACACTACAGTCATTGCATGTGCTCTGTTACAATAGTTTCCAATTATGAGGTCGAAGTAATATATACTATATTAATTAATGAACACATTGCCCAGTATTCTACAAAGGAGACGTAAGTTTTTATAAATGGTAACAGCATTAACACTTCATCAGAAATTAGAAAATGCTTATTTAACATTCTATTATATACTATTTCCGGCTAAGAAAAGAAACATTTAAAAACGTACCCTTATTTGCTGGGGATGCGGACAGATTTGTGGCACGTCAACATTATCGGCAATGCGACGTTCTCTCTCTTTCTCGTTCTTCTCTGCACTCCTGTGTTAACGCACAATTGTTTCAGATAATTAAAACAGAAATACGGTAAGAATACAGAATGTTGATCCTCACATTTCTTTTAATCTTTCCTCCGTAGCGTTCAGAAATTCCAACTTAGTTCTATCGGCAATCTTGGAAAGTTCGATCTTCGTCACCTTGCTTTCCACCACGGGAACCTAAAGATTTTATGCTAATTTTAAATTTAAATATGGTACAGTGAAAACTGCTTAGGCAACCACCTGTCAAAACAGGCAAAAATTTCTGGCATGGAATAGTTTATACATAAAGAGTCTTCGTATAAGTTACCTGTATTAAGCGACCACCCGTGTAACACTACCACGGGCATCGATTTTTGGTCCCAGACAACAACTGTAACAAGCGATCACTTCCGCGAATATATCTGGTCTAAACTATTGTTCGAACCCACCCCGGGCACTTCTCCCACCCTTGAAATTAGGTGCAGGTGTTAATGAATTAGTCTAGCAACAAAGGAAATTGGTTTCAGTTTGTTGGAAAATGTCTAAAAAACGAGGAAATAATAATAAAATCGTTTTATTAATCATTTTTCTTATTGTACTTAAGAAAATATTTTTAAAAAAATACAGTATTTTTAAATTTAAAATAAGATTAAACTAACGAATACCGAAACAAACTAATTAAGTCGGAAAAAAGAAAGTGTGCATTATAATTGAGAAAATGTGAGTATTGTATTACTCTTTAAAATATTACTATTAAATCTGTCTTATAATATCACGACGACACCTGTAAATCGGGTTATCCGATAAGAATAAAATACAATACCAATATAGTTCTATTGTTGAAAAAATTCGCTTATTTTTGCTCACCTCGAGTTGCGCTTTTTAGTAAAAATGGTTAAAAAGTGCACGAAATACGTTATTACAGGACCACCTGTATTGGACGACCACCTAAGTTTTGGATGTCGTGTCTAGGGATTGCAATTGCTGGATCCCTCATCCAGCAATCCAACTGGATCCAGCGCATTTTTCGGCCTGCTGGATCCAGCGCTGCAGATCCGCAAATACTCAATTAACTTTCTAAATAATGGTGCAAAAGTGTACGTTTGTCAGTGTTGCCGCTTTGCTAAGTGCACTATCGCTCGGATGCGAGAGCGACGTTGCCATTCAGTGCAGCACGTGCTACACTCCCTCTGTACACCGCACCACCTGTCCTTTTACCTCTGCTGATCTAATTGNTTTTCTAGCACTGTTTTTTTCCAAGAGCGGTCGATCGATGCTATCCGACAAAGACAAATCGGGTACTGTCGGTTTGGGATTTATGATCTGAAATAATATGTTGTTTCAATATTTTGTTACAATTGTATCAGATTTCAATTGAAAGAATGATAGATTGAACACTACAGTCATTGCATGTGCTCTGTTACAATAGTTTCCAATTATGAGGTCGAAGTAATATATACTATATTAATTAATGAACACATTGCCCAGTATTCTACAAAGGAGACGTAAGTTTTTATAAATGGTAACAGCATTAACACTTCATCAGAAATTAGAAAATGCTTATTTAACATTCTATTATATACTATTTCCGGCTAAGAAAAGAAACATTTAAAAACGTACCCTTATTTGCTGGGGATGCGGACAGATTTGTGGCACGTCAACATTATCGGCAATGCGACGTTCTCTCTCTTTCTTGTTCTTCTCTGCACTCCTGTGTTAACGCACAATTGTTTCAGATAATTAAAACAGAAATACGGTAAGAATACAGAATGTCGATCCTCACATTTCTTTTAATCTTTCCTCCGTAGCGTTCAAAAATTCCAACTTAGTTCTATCGGCAATCTTGGAAAGTTCGATCTTCGTCACCTTGCTTTCCACCACGGGAACCTAAAGATTTTATGCTAATTTTAAATTTAAATACGGTACAGTAAAAACTGCTTAGGCGACCACCTGTCTAAACGGGCAAAAATTTCTGGCACGGAATAGTTTATACATAAAGAGTCTTCGTATAAGTTACCTGTATTAAGCGACCACCCGTGTAACACTACCGCGGGCATCGATTTTTGGTCCCAAACAACAACTGTAACAAGCGACCACTTCCGCGAATATATCTGGTCTAAACTATTGTTCGAACCCACCCCGGGCGCTTCTCCCACCCTTGAAATTAGGTGCAGGTGTTAATGAATTAGTCTAGCAATAAAGGAAATTGTTGGAAAATGTCCGAAAAATGAAGAAAAAAATAATAAAATCGTTTTATTAATAATTTTTCTTATTGTACTTAAGAAAATATTATAAAAAAATACAGTATTTTTAAATTTAAAATAAGATTAAACTAACGAATACCGAAACAAACTAATTAAGTCGGAAAAAAGAAAGTGTGCATTATAATCGAGAAAATGCAAGTATTGTTTACTCTAAAATATTAACTATTAAATCTGTCTTATAATATCACGATGACACCTGTAAATCGGGTTATCCAATAAGAATAAAATACAATACCAATATAGCTCTATCGTTGAAAAAAATTCGCTTATTTTTGCTCACCTCGAGTTTTGCTTTTTAGTAAAAATGGTTAAAAAGTGCACGAAATATGTTACTACGGGACCACCTGTATTGGACGTCATGTCGTTCAGTTGCGAGGCCTCCGAGTAGTGAGAACAATGTCTCGTGAATGTTAATAAGGTTATAGAAAATAATTTTTACAAACTTTTATTATTTATAACCTGAAAAATTAATTTTGTGATCAGTGCCACCCAGACCACCACTACTAGTATTTACGCCATAGACTTCTATGCACATGTTTTTCCCCCGCAAGTTTTAATACAATTTGTTTCCAATAAGCATCCAAGAATGGCCAGTACATTGTCGTCAGATGCATGGCCGATTGACTGACTGACAGAGATTTTCCTCCTCGTGTGTGGGCGATAGGAAATTCTGAATTTCAAGGCCAGGCCCGTACAGTTATTCCTCAAAGGATATCCTTAATGTGTGTGGCCACCTTAAAAGACCACTTTTTGAAGGTGGTCGCCACAGACAGGTTTTACTGTATTTTGATCTCAATTTTCAACAAACAAACTCACCCTTGCCAACGATGTTGCAGTCGATCCGGTATACAAATCGTATGATAACCGACAAGTTCCAGATCTGGTGACAAAGTCGTAAAATTCTGGATTGTCGTATAAGGAAGAATAGAGGATAACGATAAACATTTCAGGTGGAAAACACAATCTAGGAGGGAAGAAAGATGAATTAATAAACGAGCTTAAAATTATTTTGTTAATAAATTTGTATGTCACCTTTCTGAATATTTCAAGCAACTGATGTAACGTAAACAGGAAGCCCAAACAAATGGATGAAAAATGTTAGGAATGCCACTAACCCATCTGAAATTGCATCACAATATTCAATTTTTGCTTTAAATGAATCAAATTTTAATAGTTTTACTTACATTCCGACGATCGGAAATCTGAAAACTTTCGGATCGTTCTCTAAAAGCATCACCAAGTTTCTCGTCTTGTCCATACTTACAAATCTAGTAAATCAATTAAGGAATCAATTAGTGAACACACAATTTCAATGCTAAGCGATTGTTTGCAACGTACCCCGTCTGCATTTCATTCTTCGAATTTAGCAACTTGTTGGATAGGGCCGTTTGTAAGATGGGAATCCGAGGAATGGGAGCAGCCAAGAATTCCATGTCTGGCGCCACCATTTTTGCCGACACTAGGCAGCTGGGACCCCGAATTGCGCAGCAAATTCTCAATTTGACAAAGTCACTCGGTACAATGGGAGAATCGCTACGGCATCTCCGACAAATAGCCTTAAAAAATCGAAGATTTTAAAATTCAATTTTCCATAAACAAATTAAATTTATTAAAAAGAGATTCTTACGTCTGCATCATTTAAAAAATCTTCATCCGTAAAGTCATCGTGGCATGACTTTTTCAGAAACTGAAGCAAAATAATAGTAACTATCATCATCTAATCGAATTCTGCAGAAAATACAAACAAACGTAAAGCAATTACGTACTTTAATTGGCACGACAATATCGCAAACGGATGGTTGTGCACCTCCGTTTCCTTCCAAATGTTGCAGCAGTATGTCGAATCTCCCGTCGAGCGCTTCTAATAAGGTAAATATTTAATCGCATAAAATTATTATTGTTTAAATTGATATTTAAGAACTGTCTAAAGATTGCAATGAAGGTATGAGAGACAATCAATAAATAACAAGCCAATGAGCAGAATGCTTTGAAGATAATATGCATAGAAATGCATCCTGGTGGGAATCAAGAGTATAGATATGCATTGACACTAAACCAAACAATCGCTGTAACTGGACTATCGTTTAGCTATTATTAATAATTAGATATTAAGTAATTGGTATTAAGAGACGGTGTCTAATGTCTACCTCTAATACCAAATTATTGCAAACTGGTCCTTTCTTAGGAAATTGTAAAAACAGGCTTACTTGAATCTAAATTGACTAATCCCGTCAGAGAGGATGTTATCGTCGTTTGCTTTTTCTCTTCCAATAAGTTCCATCCTGCACCGAGCGCTTTATCTCTGATCAGCAGAATCGGATTCCTAAAGTTTGTACGTATAAGGCGATTCATTTTATAAATTATGAAATACGCGCATACGAAAACTTACCCGTACGGACAGAGACGGATGATGCTACTTGGTCCGCAAATCCGATGATCCCAGAGTGGAGCCAGAGAATTTGAAACTCGGAATGGCATTATACATTCTCGGTAACTACAGAAACATGATTTAAAAATGATCTTTCCATAGAAATGTAATTAGAAATTACGGTATTCGTACCCTATCTCTTTAACTTCGATTCCGTCTTCATTAGTTTCCATGACGAACACTTTTCCACTAAAACAATTAAAAATTAAGTAAAAATTTTTAATTTAAAGGCTGCACGGTAAATCAACACCTTACTCTAGGGCTTATTTATACTTCCGGCATCTAGCAAGCAACGAGTGTCAAAGTATCAATTTATTTACACTTGCAGCGAGCAAATGAACAAAGAGATTGCATGTCATTATTTAGTTTAAAGATAATATAATAAAGGGCACTCATACACTATCATTTGCTAGTCTGGTTAAATGGCCAGGCATCAATTCTGCCAACATTCATTAGCTCATTCACTCTCCACCAGAGGTATAAATGACTACTTTAAAAATACATTAAGTGGAAAACAATCTGCTTGCTCAATCGAAGTACGAGAGGCAAGTATCGGAATCGCAGACAGGAGCACAAACTTACTTTAAATGTCATCTTTGAAATCTTCCGACCATTTGTCTTTCTCAAAATACTTTCCTTCGAACCTTGCAGATCTTTGTCGGTATCTACCCCGGCACTAAAAGCGTCTCGTAAGCCAATTTTTGACCGCACAAAAGTGTCATCTTCGTCGGATGCAAAAACACTTCCTTTCGGACACGGGTAGGAAAAAAATTCCACGGCGTCAACTCCGGGGAATAATGCAGAACCTCGCACCCACGGCAGCGACCGTCGTTCGCAAAATACTAGCCGCAACAACATTTCGACCACCGTCAAAAAATTATTCGTAAGATGCTTTTAATGCCTGGATACGATGCCAACAAAAGCACGTATTTTGGGAACGACAAACGGACAGAACATTCCCAAGACGACATCGAAGGAGAGCTTTTGCTCCCGTCCATTGATTAAATCACTCCTCATATAAATAAACCGTTAAACACGATAAAAGCCTTTTTGGCTACCTAAGGTAAATCTAACCCAATAACTGGATGGACCTTATACACGGATAGGGATTTAAATCCTTTTACAGCCATTTTGCTTTCTTAATCAACCAAACTCTTCTATAATACGAACAACATTTCTCTTGGTTTCTCTATTAAATAAGTTTATCTCAGATGCATTCATTCTCATTCCACAGCACGAAATAACAAACAACACATCGAGCCCTTATAATGTGACAGGTAGAAGTTACTTTTAGGTCGTGTATCGCGAATAAATAAGGATAAAAACAATAATAATAAATACTCACCCATCAGAGGACGAAAATAAAGCATTTCAACTCAACATAACTAGGAATTTACTTAATTAAAACACGTTTTTTATAACCAACTCGAACATGCGAACGTACGAATTACGCGCGGTCGCCATCTTTGTCGGTTTGTCGTCGTCCTTTCGACAGTGTTGCCAGTTCTTGTAGGAATTTTTAAATTTATTATTTTCAGATAAAACGATCGTGCTTGTTGTATTTTATAAATAAGAAAGTCGCCTGACTTTCGAAAATTGTAATTATTTTATATTTCAGAGTAAAATCATATTAATTTTGTTTAATATTTTTTTTTAATTGGAAGTACAGTAGCGTGACGTTAGGAATGTCGTCGTACTTCAGACGTTCGTCACCAGGTGTCGTCTTATCGGGAAGTCCATTTTGTATCATCGTTTAGCGTTTACTGTCGCCTCGCTCGACAGTGTTTTTAAGGAATTCTTACAAAATCACGTCTTTTAAACGATAAAGGCAATTATTATGCAAAGAAACTGATAGTATTTGAGGCAACACAATATCTGGAATTATTTAAAAAATGGAAACGAGCGATTCGGTTTTCGATCCGCACGCGGTCGAAAACCGAACGCCGAAAATTTTCGGGAGGTGACATTTCTGTAGAGTGAAAAAACATTTTGCGGAAATTAATTTTAGTTAACGCGGTCATATGCAGTATGGAAGTAAGATTAATATCATATTTGCATGCTGTTGACGATATTCGGAAACTGGGGTGGAATAATTGAATTTTCTTGTTAACTTTGCTGAAAAATTAAAATGGAAAACTCGTCGTGAGTTATTTATTTTTTAAAATTATTCATACAAACATTATAAAAGAGTGCAATATAGTTGGCTAAATGTAGAAATCAACGACATATCACTACTAGATCCTGTTTTATGAGGTTTACTTAGTGTTTATTCGCAGGGCCGTGCGGTAGATTTTCTCAGAATGATGCAAGTCTTCGAAATGCCGCCCATTACGGTGCCGCATCTCTGTATCATAGCACGGCACGGCCCTGTTTATACGCCCTTCGTGACGTACTTTAAGACCCCCGCGAGACAGGAATACAGACACTTACTCTGAATGCTTTATTCGGAGTCCTACTTGGACCGGGCGATCTGCACTCATACATTAGTCAGGGCCCTCGTCTCTCTCTCTGTGTTGCCAGATCTTCCCGTAACAGAAATCACCACCTTTGTATAAAATGTTCTCTTGAATAATGCTGATGAAGAGAACGTCAGATGCATATCCATCAAAGTTGTCCACCAGTGGCCAAGCGGTTCTGTTTGCTTAATACTGGGCGTTCCGCGGTGGATTCGCGCCTGTCCATGTGTACTTATCCGTGTTTTCTCCACGCCTGTAATGCTCGAATAGAGGCCAGTTACCTTTAAAAACACCCCGGAAAGCACCCCCCTAGGCAGATCGCTGAAGTGTTGTGTTGCTGTAATTATACAAAACAAACATATCCATGTCATGTCGCAACTGTACCTGAAAAACGATCGACGCAATGTCTAACGACAATTGAAGAACCATCAAGAACACATACCAAAGATAATATATGTTTGTTATCTAATCTGAAAGGAAGGTGGGACCACAGATAGAAAAGCTTTAGGGTGCGACTATGCAGACGCGAATTTAGTAGCGAGCGATAGTTCTCGCAAAGGAAAACCATGCACAAGCGTTGGCGAGAGCGAATTTCTGTTCTCGCACATATCTGATAGGGTTTGATATTTACCGCGTCTCGCCTCTTCTCGCTCGCTCGCGTCTGCATAATCGCACCCTTATTGTATCCTATAGCTTCAAACAACATTAAACTTTTATCGCATTGAAGAGCAATCTTATGTAGAACAATTGCACTATAATGTCTTTTTATTGTATACATATCACGGTATTGTTGAGTAGTAAATATCAAAATTCTTAACTATCCCTCTGTGGCCTGCCTTCCCTTATAAATACTTTAAGATTGATAAAGAAATATTATACAACTAATCATTAGAGTTGCAAGATACACACTTCCAAGTACAACTGGAAAAACATTTAGTTATATCCAAGCCATAAGCTTTGAAGAATTCGCATGCACAAACACCAGACGTAACGAGAAAATGCATTTTGAAGTGCTTAATTAACGATAAAATACACGATATAACCTAAAACATCGTAACAGCCAATTTGTTTTTTCCATGTTACCATCTTCGATAAGCTCGCTTTTTTAAACACATATAAAGCTTAATATAAACACACATAAAGGTTTTTATGTGTGTTTATATTAAGCTCGCTTTTTAACAACTGTAACTAAGATACTGCACTTAATCTAAAAAAAATCTGACCTTCATCTGTCGTCTCCTTCCTGTCTTATCAGATCACGTGTTTAGCAGACGGGCATCGATAAGTGATTTGTTTTTTCAGTTGCAGACATGAAGGATTTGCTGCAACACTTGATCGTCAATTACAGATGGCTGTTTGTACTCGTTCTGTTACCAATTTCTGTTGTTTACAAAGTGTTTCTCTTTGTCAGAAATTGGATTGCGTTCCACTATCGAGACTCTAAGAAAAGTCACGAAGAAAACGTCAGATATGTTCAGAAACAGGTAAGTCAATCTGTTTTATTGAGAGATTGTTTCAGTGTTTCTTCTATGGGCGATTGAATGAGGGTGTAATACGGTGGTTCAAATCCGATCCAAATTATCGATTTGTCCTGAGAAATAGGGGCTGGATTGAATTACCTCCCTCATCTGCCCGTATAGACTAAAAAGGAATGTTCGGAATGAACACTCTCAGAAGGGGAGGACCATAGTTTTGTGCCAAAACTCGTACGGCCTAATCAAAAAGTTTCTGTTGGGGGTACTGCAGCGGCGTGTACGCTAATGAGCGTGTCCAGTAGTGGCGATAAATAAAGGCAGGGATATAGGAATGTGATTAATTGGGTATCCATTTATTTCAGAATTGTGTATAGAATATGGCAAACATAAAACAATGGCAACATTGTTACCAATTGCATCCACACATGATCAGCATGAAATAATTGTTTTTGGCTGCAGGAGGAATCAGTGGACATTCACTACAAAAATTGGCAAGTGCGTCAGTGATTCACGTATGTCCAAAATCACCATTGTGGAATGGTGCTCAAAGTCCTGTGGTGGTTGCAAAATGACACAAGATGTGTATAGGTTGGGGAGACCATCCACATCCAACATGGCTGTGGATGCAGACCACTGCATATGTTTTGGATAAGTATGAATCACCATTCTGAAACGAATGTCCACCAATTTCTCTTCTTAATGCAGCCAAAAACCAATCATTGTACACTAATCAGTTTGGTAACAATACTGCCTTTGTTTGCCATATTTTACACGACTCAGAAGTCAATGAATACCCAATTAATCGCATGCCTAGATTCCTGCCCTTATTTACCTCCACTCCGATCACACCATATATTTGGTCCTATGGCATGGCTACCATAAATATGCCATTCTTTATGCTCAAATCAATTAACATGCTAACAGAGGAAGGTTTAACTTTGTGCCACATACACCTATTTACTCTAAATCAAGAAACCATTTAAACAGGATATTTGGAGAGGTCCAGAAGAGCTTTTTAAAACTGTCCTGTGGGCACTAAGAGGTATTTTTAGCAATTATGGGTTTGATAATAGGATGAACAAGTAGTGAGTGTATGGCCTAAATCTCCATGTAAAATTTGAATCTCGCATCAAATGGTAATCTCATCTTCTTGTATATCATTCTATATAATCTGTAAGATTTTTGAAATAACCACATAGGTATCACTATTTCATTCTGTGGTATTATTTTTCCCTCTGAAGATACTGGAATGGAATAAATCAGGTAGGAAAAAGCAGCTTTGCACTAATCGTCCCGGATGGATGACCATAAGTTTTTATCAACCCAAGTATAAGGCGACGATGCACAGAATTGACGTGGACCTAAAGAACATCCTTGGCATAGATATAGAGAAACGGGTGGTCCGATTAGAGCCAATGGTCACCATGGGGCAGATCACATCGCATTTGTTACCTCTAGGATGGACTCTGGCTGTGGTGCCAGAATTGGACGATCTGACAATAGGTAAGATGGTTTTGTTCTGTCTTTTCCCTCATACTTGCTCAGACTATTAATTTCAGGAGGGTTGGTTATGGGAACTGGCATCGAAACTTCTTCGCATCGTTACGGTTTGTTTCAGCAGATATGTAACGAATACGAAATGGTCCTGGCAGATGGAAGCGTCATCCGATGCAGTGCGGTAAGTGTTCAGAATTTCAAAATCAAATTTGTATTTGGCTCAGTGACCGATCTGGTTTCAGGAAGAGAACAAAGATCTGTTTCATGCCATTCCATGGTCTCACGGAACTTTAGGGTTTCTTGTTTCGGTGGAAGTTCAGATCGTCCCAGCAAAAAAATACGTGAGAGTTCATTACAAATCCACATTTTCCACTGAGGAACTAATCAACAGGCTGAGATTTGAAACTATGCGCAAAGATGCAAGCGAATTTGTGGAGTGTCTAATGTTTGATAAGGAACGAAGTGTTGTCATGAGTGCAGACATGACAGATATTGTTGAAAAAGAAAAGGTGATTAAATACACAGTTACCTGGTTGTAAAAAGCTTAAAATTAGCATCAGCTTCTGAAATTTTTTCAAAATATTACAGATTAACAAAATAGGAAAATGGTACAAACCGTGGTTTTATAAACACGTGGAAACATACTTACGAAAAACAGACAATATTGAATTTATACCTCTTGTCGATTATTATCACAGACATTCTAAAAGTTTGTTTTGGGTAATTCAGGTAAAAAATGGTTTTATTTAAATGCTAATTTAATAGAACGACTTACCCGCTTTCAGAGATTTACTTCTCAATAAAATTACTTTCAGCACATAATACCATTTGGAAATCACTTCCTTTTCCGCTGGCTCCTCGGCTGGACTCTTCCGATCAAAATTTCACTTTTGAAATTGACGGAGGCTGAATTGCTACATGATTTATACGAGCAGAACCACGTTTTTCAAGATATGCTTGTTCCTTTGGACACTCTTCACCAAAGTATCAAATTTTTTGATGAAACAGTTAAAGTAATCATTTTATTTCTACTCTTATTAACTGCAAAAGTAAGAAATTTAAATATAATCTCATTTCTCGTGCATAGATTTATCCATTATGGATATGCCCTGCATTGTTAGCACCAAATTTGGGATTCGTTCATCCGGATGGAGATTCTGCAAAGATGTACGTCGACATCGGCGTATTTGGAGAACCCCAGGTTTCTTACCAGGCTAAAACTACTACGCGCAAATTAGAGGAATATGTCAGAAGCATTAAAGGGTATAAAACTAGATTTTAATTTGCTTGCTTAATCCTTACTTACTCATTATTATAGTTTTCAGCTACTGTACGCTGCAACATATATGAACAGGGATGAGTTTAGAAGAATGTTTGATCATACTCTTTATGATAAAGTCAGAAAGCAGTTAAACTGCAACGAAGCATTTCCAGAAGTTTACGACAAAGTGAGACGAAGCGCCCGAAAATAATTCCAAGATCTTCTGTAAACAATCGAACATCGAAGATATTAAATCTTGATTAATTATATGGCTGTATTTATGCAACAAACTTCATTTACACCAGGAAAACAATGTTTTAAGATACGATATTTTGTGTCTTAAAACATGTTCTCCATGTTCCCACTAAGGTATAGAACGAGACACTGTTCTGTGTCCTGCAATCACATCTGGGTGAATAAAGTTTATCACAGGTACAATTATACCATTTCACAGATGAACTACGGGAAGCATGGTAGTTAGTTACGCTTCTTTCGGGAAAGTCTTGTTAACGGCACAATCGTATTTGCGGCAAACTTCACTCGGAACTAGAAAGGGATGTCCTGTAATTGTACTTCATGCAAACGAAGTTTGTTGCAAGTACAGCTGTACAATTTCCCAAATGGCATTCAATGGATGTCCCTGTTTGTTTTTTTAGCACAATAAAACAAACAGACAAATGTTCTATATAAAATTTTTTATTTAACAGAACAATCGGAAATTATCTTTTCATAACTTCCAAAAGCATTTATTTTCACATGACCAAACAAACAAAAACACTTATTGCGAGTTAATGACTCGTTTGATATTTTACATACTACAGAAAGTCGGCAAGTGTCTAAAAAAAATGGTCAAACAAATATTAACAGGCAAGATACCCGTCACGGCCGAATACAAAAAAAAAAAAAATCAAATCTAAGCCAAAGACGAGGGAAGACTGGCGTGAAGTGGCTAAAATCCGACCGTACTTAACGCCATTTTACAACTAATCTCCATTCTAAATTACTGATGAAAAAACGCGTTTACTTTAAAACGATTCCAAAAATAGACGTAGAAGTATGCCAAAATAACATGTCATTTGTTAGATGTCATATTTTACTATACATATAAAAATTTCAAACTTTAAAGAGCGTAAACTATTCACAATGGACTTAACATTCCAGGTTCGACTACGACATTATTGCTATTTTCGACAATTACTAATAGTAATGAACGTGTTAGAGCTAAGATACCGAGTCGTTCGAATTAACCGATCGATAAATTTTTGTAAATCCTTTCTTTCCTTTCTGCTTTATTAACTATTTCAGCAGGGTATAAATAAATTTAGTTAATGGTACAATCTATTTGTAAAATATGGAGTTACGCTATAGTAAATCTGTATACAATTTACAATAAATTACCGAGAAGAAACAGAGTGCCCGTGTAAAATTAATTTCTATGTTCTAAACCAAAAGATGGAGCAAAATGTTGTTTATATCATGTACCAAAGACTGAAATTTGATTAAGCATGAAGAAATTGTTTACATAGAATCTATACATGTTAAATGCCAAGTCACCGGCCATCTTTCTGACCTAACACGAGTGTATTTGAGCTACCAAAATATGACATAATTGATTATTTAGTTTATATTCAAGTGCGACGTATAAGTCAATATTTTAACTTCTGAAAAACTGTGTTGTAATTATTACTTGTAATTAATTCCTACAAAGCTACCTGTGAATGATGCTGCCTGTTTTAAAGTTTAAAATTTATAGGCGAATGCAACGAGATATTAAAAATAAATATCTGTTTAAAACCAAACGAGTAACGCGCGCTTTCGCGGGTATTTTACGGCCCGAGTGTGTTACTTTATTTAATTCCGAATGCAGTTTGATTGCAATAATATGTTGTGCATAAGCAATTTATAAATGCTGGGTAATAGAAAAGCCCGGTTATCTAATCATCGTTATCTGTTTTATTATCTATTTTCTATGGATATAGCCGTTAATGATATAAAGGGTGGCTCAAAAATCAGTTAAGCATATTTAACAAGTTAAACTTTGTAAGCAATAATGCGTTTGAGTAATGTCTTTACAATGACTGACTGTTGGGCCACCATGTATTTGAGTTGTAATGAAACAATTCATAAAATTATGCTCATTGTAATCACTTAAATGTTGTTAACGGTATTCAAGTGATAGTGTTTACTGACATTCAGCTGCCTGAGCATCAATACTGTCTTTGTTTTTATATTTCAAATAGAAGATACTCTCAAAAGCTAACTGAAAAATCATTTTTACAAGAAAATTTAACAAATTAATTACTTTCTCACTGTATAACTTTCATAACACAGCAAAATCAAGCAAGATTTAGCACAAAATTAAAGTATTAATTGTGATAAACTGTTTTGTATGAATAATTTTTATAAAAGCAATAGAGATTTAATAATTTTGATGACGTTTTATGAATGATAACTGCCATTTATGATCACAATAAGCAAAATTCATTACGATAATTTTGAATGTTCTGAGAGAAGCAACAAATATGAACAAGTAGCGAACTTAAACTTCAAAATAAACAAATAATAAAGCAGAAAATAAATACTAGCTGAGGCAACCTCAGTCATATTGACTGTATTTAAGTAATTCTACAGTACACCCGTTAAGAAAGTACAACCCCTGGTCAAAAGTACTAAATGATGTTAGAAATTCCTGCATCACAACGTTTTGAAGGAAAGTTTAAAAAAATATATTTAACGTTTGCATTCTAAAACTATGCCAAAAACACCAGAATTGAGTGATGCAAAGAAAGTTAATAATTTCATATTACAAGCATGGTAAAAAAAAGCATCAGATAATTGAGTACATTGTATACGTTTTGCAAACTGCAGTGTCTAAAACTATAGCTAAATATAAAGCGCAGGGAACTGTCTCCAATTAATGTAGATGTGGACGCCCCTGCATAACTATGGCACGAGAAGACAGAAATCACATCAAAATCATTAGAGGAGGAAGATTTATGTCATCCAGAGAGATAAATGCTAAATGGAAAGAATATGGGACAGATGTATCTGAAAAAACAACTCATAGAAGGTTAAACAAACTGGATATATATCAAGAAAAGCAAAGCATAAATCATATCTGACCGAGAAGCATAAAAAAAACTACATCTGAAACAGGCAAAAACCTACTAGAAGTGGGATTTGATGCATTGAAAACAAGTTATGTTCACCAATGAGTCACATATTTGCATGGAATACAGAGATAACAATGGTAGCAAAGTTTGGAGAAAACCAAATAAAAAGTTTCTATCAGAGTGCCTTAAAAAGAATAAATTATTTAATGTCTGTGTTTTAAAACTGAGCCAAATTGAACGACATACTCCATACTTTTGACCAGAAGTTGTACCAACTGTAACAATTTCCTCGAGCACAAACGAGAGAAAAATTTTCCAATAGACTTCAGATAATAGCATATTGCCAAAAAAGTATTAATAAAGCTTCCCTCGAAGGCTAGTAATTTGTTCAGTCGTAGCTCTATATTTCGTGTAGAAATTGTACTTATCACCAAGTATTGAGTAAAATGAAGAGTATGAAAAGATTTCTAGAGAATCAGAAATGGTAAAACAGAAGCCGTCATTCGTACGAATTAAATCTGACCTTTAAACAAATAAGTACTTCATTAAGATTTTAAATTAGCTGTCGTGAAATCCGAAGAAATTATCGAGAAATATCCGAAATGTTACGATATGTTCCTGTTAATCTACAATCACAGAATTGTATTTATTGCATCGAAAGAGAAACTGCAATAGATAATAGTACAACAGATTTTAAATCAATCGTTTTAAAATACAGACTTCAACACTTTACAGATATAACTATAATAATAATAGTCCTATTCGAACAACCCAATTATATCTCATCTAAAATGATATGTCATTTTATATACATTTGAAATACACTAAAATTTGAAAATTCCTATGTTACATATTAACTCATTGGCTTAATTACACGCAAGTAAAGTGAGAAAATTGCAAGTTAAAATTTATTTTTACGTCTAATTTTATTGCTTCTAGAGATTTTATTATTGTAAACTTTATGTAAATTATTAACGAGTCGCTACGACTAATTGATTAGTTAACGCGAGGAAGGCACCATCGCACGAAGGCTACATAATGAGCTTGGACCTACCTGTAACGAGTCAAAAGTGTAGAGGAGGAACGGAAAATGATTGAGAAAACAAATCCATATCCAGATTCTAGTAGCAATGACTACAATTTTATTACACGGGTTGATGCTATGTAATGATTAAAGTGCATAGAAGATTACTGTATGTAAAAAATTGTGTATTTGAAAATTAAAAATAATAATAATAAATTATTATTTTATGTGCATTACTTTGATTATTCGAAAATAATAACTATTTTACATTCATAACCACATAAACAGTTCAATAAATGCAGAGAAAACTTACATATAAAGAGCATTTTCAAGGCTAATTTTATGACTATTCACTCGCAGATAAGTGGCTTAAACTTAAGTCTGCATTGATAACATATTTAAATCTTAGTTTGTGTGTCTAGTTTATTAGAAACATCATTAACATCAACTAAATAACATTTTTCCTCTTTGTAAATAAAACTTAAATCCGTATTAATTGGAAAAATGTCAAAATATTGTTAAATTAACAATGTTAATTTGCCTTTCTCATTACTTATTTTATATCTAGAAATTTGTTTTCATTCTGAACCGATTTAAACTATTAAAATCAATAAATATGCTCTTAAACCCATCCAACGTTACAAAATTTATATATTATAAAGATAAAGGCAATCATATATTAATTTAAATAAAGAAAAAAATAAGCCAATGAGTTAACATTTTGATGTATATTGCATATTCGATCGATACGAGAAACTGCACGAGACAGAACACCTCTTTTAAATTGCACTATATACAACACAAAATTGCCATAAATAATTTAAAATAGAGGACTTTTGCCGATCAGTGTTTTAATTGCCGAGCAATGACGCTAAAGTCGTGCGATACAAAATCTATCTACTAAGACTTGACGAGAGATATTTTCTTTGCATAATGATGTGAGCGAGACAATATTTGAACTATGACTTTTTTTGGAAGAGAGATGGCACGCTGGAGTTTGGAAAATGTATCAAACGTTTTGAAAAATAAAGTAAGCTTGCTTGGCACAAAGATTTTTTAAATGCAAGTGCAAAAATTTACAAAAAGAAAGTGATCAATGAATGATCAAGAGGCGATGAAATTAGTTTTTGTACGCATTCTATAATACAAGAGATTCTTATATGAATAAATAGAATTACGGTGAAGTGCTGAAAACCTGGAGGTTTAAAAATCTGGATTCTGCTATGAAAAATGGATTTAATATCAATTTTTTGACAGTAGAATCCAGACGAACCTTTTCGGTGGTAATTTCATTATGTTCTTTCCGCCTTATAATTAGTATATTTGCTTACAGTTATACTATAAATTATATTTTTTGAATCTTTGTAAGTATTCTTACATTCCTAATGGCTTGAACTTAAAACATCTAAAATAGAATTACAGTTTATTTGAAGGTTACAATACTTAGAATGCTAATTAGCCCAGATTTTCAGCACTACACTGTAACTCCCAGTATTTAAATGTAAGTTTAATGAAAATATTTTAATGTTAGAATGTTCGACTTATAACGAAATCAGTGAAATATATTTATGTATATATACATTCTTCAAGACTATCTTCAGATTGAACAAACAAATTGATAAATTAATCTGTTCAGGTACAGTATAAATAATAAGATCAAGTTTACAAATAAACAACAAATATAGACAATTGGGTGTAATTAGTAAATATTTGAGTCGATTTGACAGATCTTTAAAGATTTGTGTGGAGAAAATAGCTTTCAAACTATGCAAAAATACTTAAATTCTCGTATTATCAAAATATATTTTGTTAATAATTTATCTAAGAATGAATTAGTGAATTAGTTTTTGAAATTTTATCAACAAGTCTTGCTGCCCTTTTGTGTATGTGTGATTTTAAAGATGTTCGCGTAATAATGCTAGTTAATAACTACTATGAATTAATTATTTACTCCCCAAAATTAATTTTAAAGTATGGTTTGACAGGAACAAAGACTACAAAGTTCCTATTAATTGTTTGAAGTATAAAGAGATAGATCTCGGTGTTACTAAATGATCACAGACAGAATGTGTGAATCAACTGACATTTTCAATCCTGCAAACATATTTTCCTTAAACGCGGTCCCTGCATTTGATATTTGCTGAATGCCGAGCAAACATCTGGCCAATAACAAGTAGCGTGGACAATTTGGCAATTATTTGGCAATTGGCAAATACCAAACGTGAGGAACTGCCTTAAAATTACGAATGCAGGTTTGGTTTCTCATCAAAAGAATATCACAAAGCTGCATATTTTATAATTAAGAGAGTCTGGTAAATATTTATACACATATATATATATAGAAAAATATTAAACACAACAATCTAAATCAGATCTAAGATGTGACATATTACAGATATATTAAATATTTTTGATAATTAAAGTATATATATTTTTTCTCCTATTAAAATATGGAAGCTGTTCGGATACGTTCTCTCCTTTACAAAAATTATACACTATTGTATAAAAACTATAGTATTGATTTATGATTGAATAATATTTAAGGCAACGTTTCATTATTGGCATTAAAGTGTTTCTTCTAACCTTAAAGATGGAACATTAGATGACGTCATGTGAACGACGATAACCTGATCGTTTTCCGTTGAATTGATTTCCGGAGGACTCAGAGTCGATTGCGATCCGTTAATCGCGGGTAAATCTTCTACACTTCGATAAGGTGGAGGAGGAATGCCATTCGTCGAGAATGGAGACAGATGCACAGTCGAATCGGACGATTCAGTATAAGGTGGAGGTTTCGGTAAGTGTTCTACTAACTGTACACCATCCGAGTTACTATATGTCACAATAAAGCTGCCATGAGTGGAAAGCGAGCATGAATAAGGAACTATCTGTGTACGATACTGATGAGTATCTAACAAAGTCTCTTCATTTTCTAAATTAGGGTACACTATTTGACATCTTGTTTGCCAGGGATTTTCAGAATTTTCCTGGAATTAAAATGATTTTCAGAACAACGCAAACAAAAAAAAAAAAATTAAATGCAACTGCAATTAAAAACACGTACGTTTCCTCTTCGACGTAGACGTCCCAGATACCACGGCCACCTGAGAAGTCTTCTATTGTTTCCTATAGGATTTCTCCGAGAAGAAAGAGACATGACGGAACGGCGCATGTGGATGCGACATATGGCCACGACCATTATTGTCGTAATAAAAATAAAAGCAATTGCACAACTCACTATTGTGTATATAGTACTTTGAAGAAAATTGATATCACTATAATGGTGCTGTTGCACGGAACTTGTTGGCGATCCGATATAATCTGGAAAATAAGTATATTTCCTTTAAACTCAGAAAACATTGAATAATTTAAACGAAAATCCAAGATGTAGGAATGTGACAAATAGAGACACTAGAGAAAAACTGAATAAATAATACGTAAAGTATCTAACAGTCTGGAGAGGCTTATTAAAAGCAGAAACCTGCATAAAAAATGGGATGAACGGAAAAAAGGATTGCGGGTGTAATAAGGAACTAATTATATTAACGCAGAGAAATAAACATGTGTGTGTAAAAACAACTGCTATGCTTATAATCTCCAGCTGTCACATTACATACGCTCATTGACAGAAAAGTTATACACTGTGAAGGAGATATTGAAATTGAATAAAACTTTATTAGTGCAAACACAATGATGACAGCAATTTTAAGGCACTTTGGCATGCTTACCCGAGTGCAATGACAAACCAACTGTAAATACGCTCTGTTTTGCAGTAAGTGGATAATTCTTTGCATGTAACTTTCTTTGCCAATGAATGTAAGTTTATTGAAAATACATAAAAATATAATACCTTGATTTATATATTTGTGACAACATGGTATAGTATAAACTATGGGACAATCGGGATCAAGCGTGTGATCGCAACACTTTTGCTTTGGAATGCAACGACCATCGTCGCATAATATCTTTCCTTCACAGGGATCCTGCCCTAATTAAAAAAAAATAGTATAGTAATAATTACTACAGAAATATCAACAGTAACTGCAAATAAGACATTGCACTTACCACATTCGTGAGTAGACTCGTCTGCTTTGCTCGGACAATCGGCAAATCCGTCGCACACGTAACGACGAGGAATGCATATTCCTCCGCCGCAGGGAAAGAATTGTTCTGAACATTTTTCTTTGCCCGCTTTAACAAAAACTCTAACGTTGTGGTTGAGAACTATACCGGTGCTGTTAACCTCGCAGGAATATACACCGCTGTCCTCTTCCTGTAAGTCTTGAATGTTAACTGATATCTCATTATAAGTTTTATAAATAGTAATCCTCGACTTATCAGATCCGACTTTAATAGGCAGCATCCATACTGGTAGAAATCTACAATAAATGTTAACACAGTTAAAATTTCTCTCAACTGTTTTGAAAGAGTGATAACGTAATAGAAGTTTGATAATTACAAGAAAAAAAATGCTGACAAAGGAAACTTAAATAAAAACTTACTTGTGTACTTTATCCTCGGTTTTAACCCTGCAAGTTAAGTTCAATTCGTCGTTCACTCTTCTAACAATATATCCGGAGGGAACAATCGTCATTCCTATATCATCGGCTAGTGACAAAATAAAAAAAAATGTGTTTGTAATTATCATCATTAATTGATTAATATAAATACAAAAGAAAATTAAGACCAATCTCCAACTTTATTCTGTTTTGCTGGAGAAACACATTGGAAACTTCAGCCCTAGTAACAAATTTTTCATAGAATCATTTGAAACATTGTGGTCATTCAAGTTTTTATAATATGCCTTAAATTTATATTACTCTTAGAAGAAGAGATGAGAAAAGAGAATTACTATGTGAGTGTATAAACAATACTCTGGGAATTCAAATGAACACGGACAGAATGATCGCAACGTTAATAGAATTCAAACACACTTCAAATCTCTTCAACGTATGCTGCAATTTATTCTTGGATATGTTGATCACACGAGAAATTTTTGTCTTAAGAGTTTCAATATTTTTGACGATCTTCGTATACCACATTCCGATAAAAGATTGACTTGGAGTGGGACTCAAACCTGCAGCTCTCGCTTACCATGCAGACTTGTTGTCCCGTTGTTGTTGACACGTTCCTCCATGAAGTTTTCGCTTTCAGACTAATTAATTTAGATATAACCATATAAATCAATTTTAACAACAGATGGAAACCTAACCACCTATTCCCTACCAAATTACTTAGTAATTATTTAACCTTAACAGCCTGGTAAAGGAATCATTGTTTAGGGTCTGGTAAAGGATTAACTAGTTTTCCATTATTTCTAATGGGAAAAAAATGGTTTTGAACTTCGAACGGTCTTCTGGGAACAAATGAAATTCAAAGTACGAGGCTCCACTGTATTTATTAAAGTTATTAAACTTTATTTTGTTCAAATTTATATTGTTTACTACAGTCAATTATCATAGACTCCAAAAATAAAACATTTTTCTATGCATAACAAATTAGATTTTGTTGCGGTAACCTTTATAAAACACACAAATCCTAGCATTTTCAAGCTTATGGATCGTCATCAGAAGTATAACTGTTTAAATAATATTAATTTTCCATACACTCAAAGTATATTTTTTAATCCTGTTCTTGTTTAATACTCCTCCTCCTCTGGATTTTGTTTTAATTTGTTCTATAGAGAGCATCTTAAACGTTTTCCATTCGCAACCCTCTGTGAGACCCGAAAGGCCCCTTGGTCTAAATTAATATTTTATTATTTACGTTAAAATAATGTCATCAAATATTACTTTAATTTTTGTGAGAAAAATACTGTTTTAACGTGGGAAAAACCCAGATAACAGATGTTACTTCCTTTCACAGAAGAGAACATCCTCTGACTTTCCCTTATCTGGTTAAAATCCAGCTCAGATGGGAAATGGTTACCCCTCATTCATTCCCCCTTTCATCCGTTCTCACGAAAGAGTTACTGGCCGATGATTGGTCAGCATTCAGAAGATATAGAGGGAACTTGTCTGAATTCGAGGAGTTCAGCGAGAGATCCGAAAGCATACAAACTCCACATACGTTTCCCTCCTGATGACCAACATCCTCAGACGAGTCACATACGGAATAAGTCTGCACGTAGGAAATATACTTTTATATGTGTGCACGTATTGTTCTCCCATACGAAGAAGTAACTGAACTTGCATACAGAGAAGAAAACGAACGACATCTGAAACAGGTCGTATGGTTTATAACGTTTTTGTGAGCTCTCTCTCGATAGCGAATAGGGTAGAATATAAGTTTAATTATCTCCGGATTTGTATATTAGTTGTAGTAGTTCTATCTCTCGTTCATTGAGATTTTTGTATGATTTATTTTCTTGTTTTATTAAATTTAATATTTCGTTTTAACTAAAAATGTCTTTTAATTGTGTGACCGGATCAGATCACATACGCGTGTTAATCCGCGTGTAATAAGATTGATTAACTGGTGTCGGGACCCTGACAATTTGGGATAAAGACCTCACAGTCTTAAATCCCCTTTTCCTAAAATTACCGCCCTCCTAAAAAACGTTACGAGAGCCGATCTCACGATCGCGCGCCGTAGGTGTCGTAGACTAAGATCTACGTCCTGGCTGATCTCACACCTCTTTTACCCGAAAAAATTTTATGGATCCTCAGTATATATGTATATAAAATAAGAATAAAACAGGTTGGTTATTCCATAACAATTCTTTGATAAACAAATTATTTTACCATTTATTAAAAACGAATACACTGTGTGAAATTTTACTGTTGTCAAATTTTCCACAAACTTCATACTCGGTTAAACAACTCCCTTTGGGGTCGCAAGTCAAGTTTAAGAAGCCTTATTCCGTCTAAACATACTGCCTTGTTCCTTCTAAATATTTCTATGCTCAATCTTCATTAAAAATATCCTCGTTATTTGTATTACCTTCCTACTTACTAAATACTTTCGTGCTTTTGCTACTGCTTCATCAGTTTACTTATAAATTACTTTTGTGGTAGTCGACCACAAAACATATTTTTGTTCTTATGGATTAGGAGAATTGGCACAAATATTGAAGAACCCATAAATGGAAAACAAGTAAGTTTCCACGACTCTGTCTTAGAATATAATGAATATAAAAATTTCTATTAAAAATAAAAAAATAACTTACATAAAAGTACTAATCTTGCCAATAGGAGAAGAATAATACAATTACGCAAAAATTTATCCATCCTGATTGCTGTTCCCTTTCGTTGATGTTCTGTACCTTTTAGAGCAACCTGCAATAGATGAAAACATCAACCTCAATATGATCATAATAAAAAAACAAATATAATTGATATATAATATTGGGTTTTCCAAAAAGAATGCTACCATTTTAAACTATCATAATTACGTTAATTATCATTGGAAAACTGTCCACGTTTGCTCGTTACAATTTCTCAGTGCACGCACCTCATGTTGCATGGCACATCCAACCGATACTCAGATTCTTCCTATGCTTGCTGTGGTGTATCCTGTTGTCGGTCCTCTTGCGACAACTGCAATTCTGCATCTCTTGCAGATAACTCATGTTGCACGATGATGAGTGATTCTGAGTTTGCAAATTGAACAACGCAAAATGCCTTCTGTGTTGTGGAGTTGCAATTTTTGTTTAAGGCAGATGAGACATTTGAATGCATACAACAGACAAAACTCGGACAGTTACTCTATCAATTGTGTACGTGACATACATCTCGAATAATAATTAACACAATTACGATAATGTAAAATGGTCAAATTCCGTTTGAAAGGCTGTTTATCTAGTAAATCCAATGTAGATAAACTAAAAAATTATTCTTCATAAAAGTATTAGACTGAATTTTTGACTTGATTTTAATTGTTTATGCTCAGAATCTCATCATTTTGAAAAACATTATAAGTTTACTATTAGACTTTTCTACGAATAACACAACTTACCGATGAACTAATTGATTGGTTAATGCAAAATGGCACATTTAGGTTATATAAGGGTTGTAGTTATATTCGTTACAGGTGACCACGAGACAACAAATGCAGATAAGATTAAATTAGGCCGTCTAATTAGCCATGTTACGTACGAACCAACCGGCAATGTTGACTGGCATAGTCAGGGATAAGGAAAGCCATCCACAAGAAATATTGGCAATCCAGATCAGTTCAAATCTGAATTTATTATGACAGCAGGTTAATGCCTTGCTATATATTATTTCTGCAAACTTATAAAAATTAAAGTCTGGCAAATATTCAAGAAATTTTCTTAAACTGCTAGACTGTTTATAACACGATCGCGCTTCTATCGATTGTTTGAAGTCGTATAAACTTAAATATCAAACATAGAATGATGCCAGGTTCTTATATAAACAAGTTATTTAATAACGAGGCTGTGATTTAGTCGAATTTTATTAAGTCGAACCGACAAATGATTTAAAAATAATCAAAAAATGTTCTCTTAAGAGTCTCGAATGGGTAAGGATCCTCCTCGAAAACATTAACGTTTGCAACAACCCGTACTGTAAACTGTATTGAAATAACTAGCAAATTATTATTTTTGATAATCTTATATTTTAATTTATAATACGATTAAAAACATTTTATCTGGTACCCGAGTGCTTTTTTCTAGATTACGAGATTAAATGTGATGACGCAGGCAACACAGCGGAGTTGATAGAGGAGATTAAAGTGGCATTGATGACACAGAAATAGTGAAATATGTAAGAACGTCTGTGGCAAGACGGCCAGATATTTATTTTGTAAGAACTTATAGATACATAACAGTCCACAAAGAACAAAATAAGAAAAATTATTAAATTTATTAAATCAATTACTAATTTATTTCCAATTAATAGTTAACTAACAATTGCAATTAAAAGTACTGTATTACACATTAATATTAATTTTAGTTAAACGAGGGCGTTTTCTTTTTACAGAGCACTTTTTTCCAGAATTTGTGTTCGAACGCCGAATTGTTTGAGTTGGGAACAGTTCGAGTACAGAGATACTGCTACATTTCGTTCGTCATTTTAATAAACAATTACTTACCTAACGTTAAAAGAAGGTTAATAACACCTAAAAATGTTTAAATAAACTTAACTAAATACAAAGATTAATCTAGAAACAAAACACTGTGAGAGTCTTAAAGGCTAAAGTCTGAAAGCTATGATGACGACACCTGGTTGAAAGGAAAGCAAGGACAAATATACTGTTTGAGTTTATTTTATATGGCTGCTAATTTTTCTCAAATGAACGAGCAATTATTTATTGACGTCGTCACAATGTCGGGCTGCAATTTTTAATTCATTTAGTTTAAAACATATGCTCTCCACCTCAAATTAGTAGTATCTTGCCCCTGTACATCATACTTTTCCTGTTAGTAATAGAGTTGTGCCAATCGTCTATCTAACTTCTTTCAGGAGAGAGTTTTTGAATTGAAATAACATGACTTCCAGTTCACATTGAGAGTTCACGTATAGTTAATTGGAGCCTCCTGCCCCTAAGCTTTCCATATCTGGTCTCGGCTTTCATCTATCTAACTCTGTTCTTGAAATTAAGGAAGGACAGACACACAGTCAGTGACAGTGGAAATTTATAGGTCTACAGTTTTTTCAAATTGCAGCCCAATGAGAAGTAATTTGCAGGTATATTTAAAGTATATTGTTTTATTGATAGATAATGCATTCTAGAAATAACTGACTTGTGCATCAGAAAATTAAGCACAATCTTACAAAGACAGAAACACCCGGTAAATGGCCAACGATAGGAAGCTGTATAGTCTTTTACTAAAATGAAATATCCAAAACTTACTCTTGCTCATTTACTAGTTGATTTTGGCTGTAATTTGACATATTAACTTAGATAATAACAACACCAAACGATGGCCTAATTATCGGGCTATAATATGGCTATTTTAAATGATTGGAACTAAGTAATTTGACAATTAGAGGTAGGCGTTAGGCGCCATCTCTTAATTAAATTAATAATTAAATAAATAATAATTAAATAAATAAATTTAGAACATTCTGGAATAAAAGAACTGGCCCGGGACGGGGCTTGAACCCGCAACCTCAAACGTTCGATATCACCTTGGACCGTGACCGTACC